ATTAAACTTCATCTGCCACGTGTCTGCCCATGTTACCTGTCTGTCTATGTCCATTTGCAGTCCGCTACTATCCTCCTCACTGTTTACTACTTTTCTTAGCTTAGTATCATCTGCAAACTTGGAAATTGTCCTCGCTATACCCAAGTCCAGGTCATTTATAGAGATCAAAAACAGCAGTGGTCCCAATACCGACTGCTGGGGGACACCACTGCACACTGCAGTCAGAAAAACAACCATTCACCACCATTACTTTCATCCACACTCTCAGTTACTTCATCAAAAAACTCTATCAGGTTTATTGAAGATGATTTACCTTTACAAATCTGTGTTGGCTGTCCTTTAGTAACCCATATTTTTCTAAGTGAAAATTTATTTTGTTCCAGATTATAGTCTCCAAAAGTTTCCCTACTACTGATGTTAGGCCGATTGGCCTGGAGTTCTCAGGTTTACGCTTCTGCCCCCTTTTGTACAGGGGAGTAACATTTGCAACCTTCCAGTGCTCTGGCACCACTCCAGTGTCCAAAGAGGATTGAAAGATTGTGGCCAGAGCCTCCACTATTTCCACCCTTGCTTCCCTCAGTAACCTAGGATGCATCCCGTCCGGACCAGGTGACTTATCTATGTTGAGCACCGACAGCCTTTTTAGACCTCCTCTCTGTTTATTCTTATCCAATTTCTCTCCCCTCTCCTCCGATACTGTGGCTTTTGCTGCATCCTCTTCTTTTGTGAAGACGGATCCAAAGTCCTCATTCAGTATGTCAGCCATGCCCTCTGCCTCTTTCGTCCCTAATTGGTCCCACCCTATCTTTGACTAACCTTTTATTCTTTATATGCTTATAAAATACCTTTTTATGTTACCCACTAATCTTTTCTCATACAATCTCTTTGCCCTTCTTACTTCCTTTTTCAGTTCTCTGTACTTTCTACATTCTATTTGATTATCTTCTGTATTTTGGACCTGACATTTATCATAAGCCTCCTTTTTCTGTTTTCCTTATTCATTCAGGGAAGTTTGGATGCCCTCCTTTCCCCTTTGTGGGAATGTGTTTGTTCTGTCCCTGAACTATCTCCTCCTTGAAGGTTTCCCATTGCTTGTTAGCTGTTTTACCTGCGAATCTTTCTCTCCAGTCCTCCTTGGCGAGGTTCCTTTTTAACTCACTGAAATTAGCCTCTTCCAGTTGAGTATCTTCACCTTTCATTGCTCCTTGTAGCTTTCCATAAGTACTCTAAACCTAATGATGTTAGATTGTCTATTGTCCAGATGCTCTCCTACTGAAACCTGCTCCACTTCATTCCCCAGAACTAGATCCAGCACTACTTCCTTCTTCGTTGGGCTGGAAACATATTGATCCAATAAGTTATCCTGCACACATTTCAGGAATCCTTGCCCTTTACACTGTGTGTTTCCCAGTCTATATTAGGATAATTGAAGTTCCCCCATTATCACTACTCTATTGGTTTAGCATCTTTCTGAAATCTGCTGCAGATTTGCTCATCTGTCTCCTTCCACTATTTGGTGGTCTATAGTAAATACCTAACAGAGGAACAGATCCTTTTCTGCTCTTTAACTCTAACCAAATAGATTCTGTTTTTGGTTAGAGTTAAGGAGCAGAAAAGGATCTGTTACTCTGTAGGTGTATAGATTCTGTTTTTGGACCCTCTAGCACATCGTCCCTTTCCAGGGCCGTAACTGTGTCTTTAATCAGTATTGCCTCCACCCCCCCCTCCTTTTTTTTCCCTTCCCTATCCCTCCTGAATATTCAGTTCCCATTCCTGCCCTTGTTTGAGCCAGATCTCCGTTATTGCCACTACATCATAACCCCATGTGGCTACTTGAGCTGCAGTTCACTAATCCTATTTGTCACATTTAAGCACATGCACTCCAAGACCGACTTAGTTTTTTCTGCATTTCTCCCCCATCTAATCCCTCCTTTTTTTCTGGATTACTCCTTATTACATTACTGTTCGTCTCTCCCAGCCTTCTATGTAACTTGTTTGTCCTCTCTAATACTACATCCCGATTCCCTTCGCACCTCAAAATTAGTTTAAACCCTTCCCCCAAGCACTAGTTAACCTCCCTGCAAGGACATTGGTCCCAGCCCTGTTCAGGTGCAAACCATCCACCTTGTACACGTCCCACCCGCCCCAGAACTGATCCAATGATCCAGGAATCTGAATCCCTCCTTTCTGCACCATTTTTCCAGTCATGTGTTTGGGACGTCCTCCTGATGTGAAAATGTAGTTTTGTTGTTGCTGTTTTGATACTCACTTGCATGAGGCACTGGGAGTCATCCAGAGATCACCACCTTTGAGGCCCTACTCTTTAGCTTTTCCCTAGCTTCTGATACTCTCCTTGTAGGATCTCAGCCCTTTTTTTTCCCTACGTCATGGATCCCAAGATGGACCACGACTTCTGGATATTTCCCTTCCCCCTGTAGAACATTTTTCACCCATTCCATGATGTCTTCAACCCTGCCACCAGGGAGGCAACATGCAATGCTAGAGTCACGCCTTTATTCGCAGAAATGCCTGTCTATTCCTTTCACCATTGTGTCCCTAATGACAATTGTATTGACACTCTTCCCTGTGTCCCCCTGTGCATCCATTTGCTTTTGACTCCCCTCCCCAGAGATGTCATCACCCTGACCGGTCTTCAGTACAGAGAACTGGTTTGTGAGTGCCACACTCTCAGGGGATTTCTGCATTGCCCGTCCCCTCTTCCTACCACGCCAGGTGGTCACTCACTCACTCTCCTTCTGACCCCTCTGTGGATATGGGGTGACCACCTCCTGAAACGCTTGATCCATAAACTTTTTAGCCTCCCGTTTGCTATGTAGTGACTCCAACTTCTCCTCGAGCTCAGAAACCCTGAGCTCAAGCTCGAGCAGCCGAAGGCACTTCCTACACACGTGTCTATCCAGGGCACGCAAGCATCCCGGAGTTCCCACATAGTACATATTGTGCATGCAACTGGTTTCACTGCCCTGCCATATTCCCAGACATATTTTATATTATTTTAATATAACTATTATATATTTTATAATTATGTACTTCTTTCCCCATCTGCACCGAATTCCTAAACTTACCAAATTCTGTAACAGAATTATAATAAATAATAATCCTTGCATTTGATGTAGCGCCTTATCATGTCTTCGAGACGTCTCAAAGCACTTCACAGAATATAATGTAAAGTGAATTGACTGTATATTTTGTGAGCCAAACGCAGCAGCCAATTGGGCACCGCAGTGTTCCACAAACAGTCGTGGACTGAGTGACCAATTTATTAATTTTCTTGAAGAAATTATTTCCTTGCTAGACACACAGAGAACCAGATATGCAGACACTACCACCTTCAAAAAGCATGAGATACAGAGGATAGTTCCACCGAGAAATCGAAGCACATATCCATCTCTTTCTCCTCCTTACTCATATGATAAACTAGGAATCTAGAAAGAGCAAGATTCAATGATTAGTCATGAATAATAATAAATAATAATAAATGAATTATTCTCACTCTGTTCCACCTCACTCAGTTCCCTCCTCACGCTGCTGGGCTCTCTGTCACTAAACCAGCCTAGGTTGTGAAGCTGCCCTGCTAATCCCCATTCTGTTGCCATAGAATAATCAAAATCAAACTGGTTCCGGGAACAGCCAATTTGACTCAAATGAAATTCAGTCTTCTCCAGAACCAATCTTTCAGTCTTTGAACTGAAGAAAAGCGGCTGATATCACATTAGCACTTCTCAGAGTTAAAGGTCAGTCCATAGGTCTCTGCATTCCCAGAGAATGGCTCCCAATTCCATTGGGAAGTGATGGAATATTGTCATCAGCCGGCAGATGGCAGCCTTGTCCCCATGCTCAGGATGGTTCCAGTATCATGTAGCCCTTGTGGCCTGATAGAATACAATACAAAATTATATTTGTTTACCGCCTTTCATCGGGAGGACATCTGAAGGCGCTGGATGACTTGTCCCTGTGTAACCCGGGTGAGATGTGGCCAGGCTGCCTTTGGAGCGCCACAACAGATGCTGGAAAACAAGCCACACCCATCTGTCCAAAATTCGTGTGGAATTCAACAACAACGTTCTGGGTTTAAAAAGAACGTCCAACATCTCTAGTTTCTGCTGCCTGTGAAATTTTTGCCCAGACAGCAGCATTGCCTGGAGATCTGTACCCAGGTATTACAGACAATGGGAAAACCTGCTGCACACTATTAGCTCTGTGAAATCTGCATGGTTCCCACATCAGTTGAGCATTGGACTTGGGACAAGAAGATTCTGTATTTTAATAATAATAATCATCCTCGCATTTGATATAGCGCTTTTCACATCTTCTAGATGTCTCAAAGTGCTTCACAGAATATACTGTAAAGTGAATATTATTTGTGGGTGAAACGCGGCAGCCAATTGCGCACAGCAGCGTCGTGGATTGAGTGACTAAATTCTTAATGTGTTTTTTTTCTTGAGGGAGTGGAGGCATGTGGAATAAGGAAACTTGCCCAAGGTTTCACCCTGCCAGGAATCGAACCCAGATCTCTCGCTTATAAAGCGAGTGCTCTAACCACATGTCCCATAGGTCTGATCTGATCTATTTTAGCCTGGTTAAATGAGTCTCATCTTTAACAAAACAAGAAACAATGTAAGCAGATCCCTCCTGAGCTGGTTCTGACAGGAGAGTAAACCAAGGCACAACTGGCAATTGACTAGTCTGTCTGACTCATCCATGAGCCTTGGAATGCCCTCAAAGCCCAAATAGGTATGGAGGCTTGGCTGGACGTATTGTGTCATAACGTTAACTTACCAATTGGCAGCAAGAGGGATGAAGAAAATGAGGGCAGGGGAAATGTACCCTCTATAATATTATATGTAAAAGAACTGGGCTTGGTGGGACTCTAAGCTTCTTTGGATTCTTCCTTAAATCCTTAGTCATATTATTCAGCAGATGAGTCTTATTTGGTCACTTGCTATGACTCTATACTGATCAGATCCATTACATTTCAGGGTACAGAGAAGGCTTCTTGTGGAAACGGGGACGTGACAACGGACAGTTTCTGAGCCGGAAATTCATATTAACTGAACGGGAAGGAGTGCTGAAATACTTTAACAAACACGATGTAAGCAACCAGTTTCCTCGCCAGTTCATAAAGTTTAGCAAAATCCCTGACTTCACCTCGCCATAGTCTGTAAGACCACATTACCTTTTAAACATTTAAGTATTGTGTAGAATTCTTAAATTCAATCTTAATTAGGACGCCAGTTTTTAGCAGATCTTAAAAAGAGCCGGCTGAGACTTCTTGATGACGTGAAAAATGCGCTATATTGAATGCAAGGATTATTATTGTTATTATTTGTCTTCTTAATAGGCTTTTTTTAACCTGAACGTGCAAAAGAATTCAAACCGCTATATCCCACACTGCAGGGAGGTTTCCTCTAGTTAAACACTGAGCTCTGAGACACAACTCTCTGCCCCACCCACACCCCCACACAGTGGTTCTCGAGACTTTGAAATCCTCTTCTCTTTCCCGTCACTCAAGCTTGTCTTCTAAGATTAGGAATCACAAAAAAGCAAGATTACTCTTGCTTTTTGTGATTGTAAAAGAAAAACTTGAATCACTTTTTAAACTAAATTTATACCCACTTCCTCTTCCCCCTCCCCCCCACCTTATTTTTCAGGCGAAAGACCCGAAAGCAGTCATACGGCTCAATCAAATCAATGCCAGCTTTCAACCAGCAAAAATCGGGAACCCGAATGGTCTGCAGGTTACTTATTTAAAAGATAACAGCACCCGGAATATATTTGTGTATCATGAGGATGGGAAGGTAAGAGGGGTAGGGGGGTGGAATGCCTAGAATGCTCTTGATGGTCACTTTCCCCAGAATCTGAATTAAAACTATGTTTTGAAAGATTATTTACTGATTATTTTATTCTTGTTGGGACAGGAAGTCGTTGACTGGTTCAATGCTATCAGGGCAGCTCGGTTCCATTACTTACAGGTGGCGTTCCCAGGGGCCAGCGATGCTGATGTGAGTCTCACAGAATTTAATGAACTGTTGATTTCACACACGCACTCAGAGAAATCACCCTTCAAGGCCAGATATACTGGACCAGTCCAGCCTGATACATCCTCTGGCAGGGCCACTCATTAACTAGACTGGTGGCCAACCTTTATGGACAGTCAACAATATAAATTTTGTTGCTTGAATATTTCTTAATTTATGCCACAAATCAAGAAATATTCAATCAAGAAAAAACTGAGAACACAATACCGATCAAACACGAACTAACCTAGACTAGTGAGAATTTTCTTTTGGGGGGTTCACTTATCCATAACCGCACGATCCACTTTCAGCCACTACAGGTTGATCACCAATGAATTAGACAAACACAAGCTTCTTAAAGCACTCAGCGAGCGCTGTTCTAGCATAGGTTAACATAAACTTTTTCCATTCTATTTCAGTTGGTGCCAAAACTGACAAGAAATTATGCAAAGGAAGGTCACATGGAAAAAACGGGTCCAAAGGTTGGTTTCATTTGACTTGTTAAGAGATGGACAGAGGATGAGAGAGAAACTTGTCACATTATCTAAGCTGACACTCCGCTGCAGTGCTGGGGGTGGTGTTACATTGTTGGAGATGCCATCCTTTGTAGTGGATGTTAAAGATCCCATGACACTATTTGAAAAGAGAGAGTTTTCCCCAGTGTCCTGGCCAACAAATGTCCAAATAAAATTGATCAACAACAACAATTTTCAATTATACAGTGCCCTCCACACAGGGCAGTGTCTCAGAGCGCTTAACAGTGATGGAGCCTGATTCTGAGCCGGGGTGTGGGGGTGACCATAAGCATGGTCAAAAAGGAAGGTTTTCGGGCGGGACTTGAAAAAGGGGAGAGAAAGGCAATGCGGAGGGATTGAGGGAGAGTGTTCGGGACGTAGTGGCTGAATGTGTGACCTCGAACCATGCGATTGCAGTCCCACTAAGGTGGATGAGGGAGGAGTGGCAGTGGGGGAAGATGGAGTGGTCTACTGTGTCAAACGCAGCAGAGAGAGATCCAGAAGGTTGAGGAGGCAGAGGGAGCCCTGGTCACAGATAGAGAGGACGTCTTTTGTGACTTTGACAGGCGCTGTCTCTGTGCTGCGAGCAGGGTGAAAACCAGACTGCAGTGGCTCGAGGAGGGAGTGGAGAGAGAGGTGTGACCGAAGTTGACCTGCAACAATGAGTTCCAGGACTTTGGCAAGGAAGGGTAGGTTGGAAATGGGACTGTAGTATGAAAGATTAGAGGGTTATGAGGATTGAGGAGAGGTGTGATAACAGCAATTTTAAGGGGGAGTGGAATAGAGCCTGAGGAGAGAGACTGTTTGACCATATTGGCCAGCAGGGGGGAGAGGAGGGGGAGTTGAGTGACCAGCAGCTGAGTAGGGAGAGGGTCAGGGCAGCAGGTGATGACTTCATGCACGTGATGTGGTTGAGAGGGAGGAGGAAGAAATGGGGCCAAAGGAATGTAAGGAGTGGCAGGAGCTGTGGCAGAGGGATAAGGCAGTTTGGATGGTCCGGGAGGTATGGAAGGAGACATGGGGTGAGGAGGAATGATGATGTTTTCAAGCAGATATTTTCAATTCTTTGAGGCATTTTTAATGTGAGGATAGAGGGAGCTTGAGGGGATGCATGGTGATGGATGGTGGAAAACAGTGTCCTTGGATTGTTTTTTGCCTCCAGGGTGACTTTGGAGTAAAAGTCAGTTTTGGCCTGTGAAAGGGAGAGGTGGTGGGTGTGGAGGAGTTCAAGTCACAGCTGGTGGTGAATCGTGAGGCCGAATTTCTGCCATCTGCACTCAAGCTTCCAGGTGTTGGGTTTCAAGTGAGCGGTAATGACTGTTGTACCGGGGGAGCTGGTGAGTTTGGAAACAACCCTGGATTTCAGGGGAGCCAAGGAATTAAAAGTTGTGGAGAGACAGCTGCATCAGGATCGCTGCGGGTGGAGGGCCAGAGGGAGAGGAGGTCCGAGAAAGAGAGGCAGCTTGGGAAGCTTTTACAAGTGGCGGAAAAACATGATGGAGGGCTTGGAACAGGGGAGGGGGATGCGGGAGTAGAGGGAGATGAGGAAGTGGTCTGAGTTGGCCTTGTCCGTGATGGACAGGTCGTAAATGTCAAGACCATGTGTGATGACAAGATCGAGGGGGTGGCCACGTTTGTGGCTCGACAAGTTGATGTGGAGGGTGAGGTTTAGGGAGGAGAGGAGGGCAATGAAGTCTGAGGAGGTGGTGCAAGAGGAGTTTAGGTGCAGGTTGAAATTACCCATTATGAGCAGGTGTTCAGTGCAGAGGGACAGGATGAGAGGAGAGAGGAGATATCAGTGAGGAAGGAGCCAGGAGATTTGGGGGGTGGGTGGTAAACTAGGAGAATTTTGAGGGAAAAAGAGGAGGGATGGTAGAGGGTGAGGTGCTCAAAGGAGGACTTGGTGAGAGTATGAATTTGTTGCAGAGGGGAAAGGAGGTGCAGGTGAGAATTTTTTTTTGCCTCATATACTGTATATAACAATGGAATACTTTGTATGTTGCAGTAGTTGCAAGATTTTTGCCTTCCAGGCCGAGATTTTGAAGCGATTATATGCAATAATTGCAAGATGGTAGATTCATTCAACGCTCAAGTAGTCAGCCATAGTGAGCGACTGGCCATGCACCAAAGTAATAATAATAATCCTTGCATTTGATATAGCGCTTTTTACGTCGGGAGGACGTCCCAAAGCGCTTCACAGAACACACTGTAAAGTGAATTGACTGTATATTTGTGGGCGAACGCGGCAGCCAATTGCACACAGCAATGTCCCACAAACAGTTGTAGATTGAAAATGACCAATTTATTATTGGTTTTGGTTTTGGAGGGATTATTATTAGGCTCTGTGTGGAGTAAGGAAACTTGCCCAAGGTTTCGCCCTCTGCCTGGAATTGAACTCAGGTCTCTCACTTGCAAAGCGAGTGCTCTAACCACTGAGCTACAGGACTCCACAAGTATTAGTCTGACTCCAAACTATTAGGGATTGAGAAGTCTTTATAAATGATGTATTAGAGCTAGGCGCGGCCTGAAGATGGGGAACGAGGGGGCGAGGCGAAGGGGCTGAGGGAGGGAGTTCCAAAGTTTCAGGGAGTAGTGGCTGAAGTCACGGCTGCTGATGGTGGAACGGAGGATTTGGGGGACATGGAGGAGGCTGGACCCAGTAGAGCGGAGGCAGTGGGTTCTGCTGTGGGGAGGGAGCAGGTTAGAGAGATGGGAGGCAAGGAATGGAGGGATTTAAACACTAGATTGAGGATCTTGAAGTTGATTCGTTCTGTGACAGGGAGCCAGTGGAGTTTGGCAAGGACTGGAGTAATCGGGGTACGAAGTTTGGTGCGGATGAGAATGCGGGTGGCGAAGTTTTGAATGAGCTGAATTTTGGGAATAGTGGAGGGGAGGGGGGGAGACCAGCAAGGAGGGCGTTAGAGTCATCCAGCTGAGAAGTGACAAAGGCATGGACAAGGATTTCGGCAGCTTTTGGGTTGAGGTATTGTGGGAAACGGGCAATGTGGCAGAGGTGGAAGAAAGCGATGCTGGTCAGGGACCAGGGGAGGAAGGATAACTGGGGATTGAACCTGACACTTAAATTGTGCACGGGTTCGGAGAGTTTTAAGGATAGGTGGGGAGGTTGAGGTGTTCGGAACCATGGGACAGAAGACGTCAGCAGGAGCCAAAGAGTATGGCTTCAGTCTTGTTGACGTTTAGCTGCAGGAAATTTGCACTCATCCAGCGCTTGATGTCCGACAGACAAGCTGACAGAACATCAGGGGACAGATGTTCCCGCTCAGTCTGACTCCAATTACAGATTGGAGGTAGATCTGAAGGACTTTATTTGGCAGAGTGACTAAATTAGCAATAGAAATTGTGGACATTAACCACCCTTCAATATCTGTTTTTACAGGCATGACTTTAAAAACGTTTTCTGTTTCAGAAGATTTTATCTTAATAGCTTTTAGCTGTTCTTGCAGAGGGGACGTGGAGTCCTGTAGCTCAGTGGTTAGAGCACTCGCTTTGCAAGCGAGAGACCTGGGTTCAATTCCCATCAGGGCGAAACCTTGGGCAAGTTTCCTTACTCCACACACCTAATAATAATCCCTCCAAAAAAAAACAATAATAAGTCGGTCATTTTCAATCTACGACTGTTTGTGGGACATTGCTGTTGGCAATTGGCTGCAGCATTCGCCCACAAATATACAGTCAATTCACTTTACAGTGTGTTCTGTGAAGCGCTTTGGGACGTCCTCCCGACGTGAAAAGCTCTATATCAAATGCAACGATTATTATTATTGTATTGCACGTAGTCTCTGGTCACGGCTGCAAATTCAAAGCTGTTGGTGTTTCTCCCACCAGCCTGTTTACCAGCTCGTTTTTTAATTCTTTTATGAGAACCTGTTATTCTCTCTCTTTCTTGTTTAATGAGTCAATTAAAGACTCGGTTTCAGAAAGTTTCTGCTGCAATCACCCCACCTCAGCCTGATTGTTTCTTTAATTAACAATTGTTTTTCATAATTTTTTTCCTCAAATTTTAACACCAAATTAGAATTTTCAAGCTCCGATTCTCTAACAAGATTGTTGCGTGGTCTTTATATTTTTTAGCAGACTGCAACCTGCTAATTATTATTATTAGGTGTGTGGAGTAAGGAAACTTGCCCAAGGTTTCGCTCTCTGCCTGGAATTGAACTCAAATCTCTCACTTGCAAAGCGAGTGCTCTAACCACTAAGCTATAGGACTCCACACCGTCAGGTATTAAATCCGCACGGCTCACCGTCTGCAATGTTTTCTTAATTTTTTCTTACAAAGTGAGCGATTCATTCTTTTAATCTCCTCAACTGAATGAGTGACTGACATTGAAGAGTCCTCATCCTCGCTAGATATCTCAGTAGAACTGGTTTCACTGGGTTTACATGTAATTTCATTTAATAGTTCTTTTCTTAATGTGGGTCTGTTTGCATCACAAAATTCGAAGTACTTGGTATCATTACCAGATCTATTTAATTTTTTTTTAACGACTAACAACCCCTATTCTTTCTTTGGCTTTCGTGTGTTTCACAAGCATGCCTCGCCTTATAGCTATTTCCCTCAAGAGAACGAGTTCTCCTAATGGGTTTCCCCATTTTGTACGCCAGATTTCAAAATGTTATTTGTTAATTTGTTATCCCGGCCGCTGGCTGTGTCCATTTTTACTTATCTTAATCCAAGAATAAAACCATGGTCCGTTGGCCTGCTTTAGTGCTCTCCAGCCCAACGTTGGGCACCAAGTGAGACGGTTCTGTCACCCTTATATATGTACCCACAATATGGCTCGCTCTCCCTTGCAGTGTCCTGGGTGACCTCTGTTTTCAATTCTCACTGATGAATGCAAGTCCCTGTAACTAGGTGTAACTTGACTAATGAGTTCTTCCACTACTACAGGTCCTACCGATTGCTATTTAAATTAAAGCAAATTGGGAAGCTTCAGTCAATCAGAGGTTAATTGTACACCTCTGTGACCTTGGCGGAACCTGTTTGTGTATTCCCTCCTTTGATTTATACATAAAGCTCGAGTTAAAGCAGTTAAGTTAGCTCAACAGAATTTTATTGTAGCTTCAATGAAATCCACAGCCATTGGCATTAAATCTTAAACAACACAATAAATATCAACAAACACAACTCTAAGATAACAAACATTAACCACACTTATATTATACATGCTAGCAGCCACAGGTAATGAAGTTAATGTAAAGTGCATGAAGAACCAACCTCTATGACTACCCTTCATCAACACCACTCATCTCACTACACTCATCAATGACCTTTGATGTCATCAGGTAGAAAAATATCTGCCATGAGCACATGGCTCTCATTCTTTTATGTGCATTGAGCCTCTCTGTGAATTAGGGTCCCCAACGGTAATTGTATAGAACCAATTGATTGGTTACTTGATTACCTTTCTTATGATCCAATCAAAATCATCCTTTAAGTGACCCAATAGGGAGCAGTGCACTTATACAAATTATAGATAGTCAGTTACCGCCAAACTGTAATCAACGCTAGAGTCCGACTTGATGGCACCATAAGTATCAAAAACGTTAAGAACATAAATTTTTTTTAAAACTCTACTCAATATATTTAAATAAAAGACAGGCAGAGAAAATAAAAGAGATGACCATAACAATTCCACAAGGCTCTGTTTTGAGACCTCTTTCATTTAATATTTTTATAAATGATCTGGAACTAGCACAGTGGCTAAGTTTGCAGATGACACCAAGCTAATGAAGGTGGTAGATTGTGAAGCTGAACAAGATAGGTTACAGAAGGATTTGAACATACTTGGGAATTGGGCAGATCAGTGGCAGATAAAATTCAATGTAGAGAAATGTAAAGTACTTCACATGGGGACAAAAAATCCTGGAAGGGACTATTATTTGAACAGAAGGAAAATAATATGTATGGAAAAAGAATAGGACTGGGGGTCCTGATTGGTAATACATTGAAGCTCTTCCAACAATGTTTTGTGGCAGTGAATAAAGCAAACCAGATATTGGGATTTATCAAAAAATCAATAGCAGCCGAAATAGTGGGGTCATCCTGCCACTGTATAAATCGTATAAACCATACTTAGAGTACTGTACAGTTCTGGTCGCCGCAGTACAAAAAAGGATATTGGAGAAATCGAGAAGATACAGAGGAGGGCAACCAAAACGATTGAGGGAATGGAAGGACTGGACTATGGGGAGGGACTGAGTAAATCGGGTATGTTCACGCTGGAAAAGGGAAGATTGAGAGGTGACATGATTGCTGTCTTTAAGATTCTAAAGGGGCAAAACAATATAGGTCATGACAGGCTGTTTCAACTTGTCCAGAATAGTAAAACCAGAGGACACGGCCTGAAATTGAAGGGGGTAAATTCAGAATGAATCTATGCACATATTCTGTGTAAACACTATTTCAGTGAGCAAGTAGTGAACCCGTGGAACAGGCTCCCTATGGAGACGGTTGAAGCAGGAAATGTTGATTCTTTCAAACACAGATTAGATAGTTTTCTTTTAGGAAATAACATTACAGGATATAGTACATAGGTAGTTCAGGACATATGTGCATGCGACCTCCAGGAAGGTGGAAGGCGAACCTTGGCATTTTTTCATCAAGCATTTCTTGTGTTCTTATGAGGAGAAACAGCCAGAGAAATAGGGGTAATAGACCTAGGGAAGCTTGGGGGATGAGAGCCACCCCGCCGCCACGTTGTTTGGGGCAGCGGGGGGTGAAGAGTGTAGCCAGAGGGGAGGCTTCAACAACAACAGCAAAATTACATTTGTATAGCTCCTCTCACGTTGGGAGGATGTCCCAAAGCGCTGGACAGACAGAGTTACGGACCCGAGCTGAGGGTCGGGGTGGGGGAGGGCAGGGGGGAAGCAGGGAGATTCAAAGCACGGTTGAAGAGGAGGGTCTTGAGGTGGGTCTTGAAGGTGGCGAGGGAGAGGGCGAGATGGAGGGACTACGGGATGGAGTTCAAAAGAGTGGATGCAGAGTGGCGGAAGGCCCGCCTGTCGATAGTTTGCATAGTTGAACCTCGATGTAATGAAGGCGTGTATGAGGGTTTCGGCGGCCTGCGGTGTTGGAGCCGAATGAGGGGGATGGGTCACAGGGGGAGAGCCAGGTTTCCGTAAGGCCAACAATATCGATGTGCTCATCCAGGATGAGGTCATGGATGGTAAGGGCTTTATTGGAGAGGGAGCAGACATTTTGGAGGGCAATGCAGATAGGTTTGCTGGTGAGGTTGTGGGGGGGGGGGGGGAATGGAGAGGCGAGTGGTAGGATTTGGGGTTTTGGGGGAGAAATGGAGATTTGGAGAGGATATGCATGAGGGAGGGGCAAAAGTTTGCCTTTTGGAGGCGGTTGGTACGGAGAGAGTGAGCGATGGAACAGTTGGGGTGGCTGCTGTGGGACAACCTACGCCGGGACCCACGATGGGCCTGACAGAGGATACCCAGGCTGGAGCAGAGGAAGGTAATGTGGGGTCCAGGCGAGAGAGAATGTAAGGAGGGCAGGGGAGAGAAGGACAGAGTGGGAGTAGTGGAGTGTGTGGGGTAGGAGCAGCAACATTTTCAGAGGGAGCGGCTCGGGTCGGGGGGCAACCAAAACGCGCACGTAGAGACTGGGAACGAGCGATCAGCGAGGCAGCATCAGCCCGTGGGCTATGGGAGACAGCGCAGGTAGGGGAGAGAGGGGGGATGGCAATCATGGCTTAGGTGCCAGAGACAGGGAGGGAAAGGAGGCATAGCAAAATTGCTCACTTCATGGCTGTTTGTTGGACATTGCTGTGCAGAACTGGTTGCCATGTTTGGCCCACAAAATACACAGTCAATCCACTTTACAGAATTCTCTATGAATCAGTTTGAGACATCTTAATGATGTGATAAGGCTTTACGTCAAATCCAAGAATTATTATTACTATTACCGTCCTCCCACTACAGCACTCAGCTGTGTCTTAAACGCATCCAGTCTTCTTGCCTGAAGCACACCCCTTGGTAACCCCATTCCGGCTGATAATTTACTCTCTGTGTAAAGAAATACTTCCCAGTTTCTGTCCTTAAATTGGCATTCACAGCCCTGAACCCATGGCCTCTTGTTCTGCTGCTTTGGCATATATGAAAGTAACATCATTGTCCTGATATTCACAGCCTGTAACAGCGGCTGTCTGCAACAGCTTGCAGATCCTGCCCAGCCACTCTCTCAGAAAGCAGCTTAAGAAAACAGAAGGAAAACCGTTCAGTGTACACTCCCACAGTCTTGACGTGGAATTCAGTTCATACCAATTGCTCGTTTGTTCTGTCCTTGTAACAGGAAATCAAACAAAACCTTCACTGGAGTTTGCAAGCGCCTATTTCATTTTTGCAGCCTGCTGGCGGCACCCTCTGGCCAATGCTATGAAAGCACTCCAAATCAGGAATAGAAATGATGTGTATTATAATACAAACATAAATGTCATTGAATACTACAACATGGAAACAGCCCAACTGGTCCATGCTGATATTTGTACTCCAAAGAGTCTCCACCTCTCCTATGAGCAAGTAGAGATTCATGATGAGATTTGTATTAGTTCTGTCATAAAAACCTGAGTTTTGTGTCCACCACTGCTTTGTATATTGTAGAGAAAAGCATGTATCGGGTGTTTGTTATTTAATCATGACTAGTCCTGTACGGGAAAACCCACACAGAGTCGTGTACAGGGACACGTCCACAAGCTATTACCACAAGGCAACATCATAAATGAACTGTCAGTGTAACTACTTTATTTTGCAACTTATAATAATAATAATATAATAATCCTTGAATTTGATATAGCGCTTTTCTAGACGTCTCAAGTGCTTCACAGAATATATTGTAAAGTGAATTGACTTCATTTTTGTGGGCAAAATGCCGCAGCCAATTGCGGACAGCAGTGTCCCACAAACAGTCAAGGATTGAAGTGACTAAATTATTATTGGTTTTTTTCTTGAGGGATTTTTGTAAAGCAGCTTGTGGAATTAAACTGTGCAGTAAAATCCATTTGCCTGTTCAGGTGGACATTAAAGAGTTAACATTGCTGTATCTTTTCCCAGCATACTGAAGGTTTCAAGAAGCGGTGGTTCACGTTGGATGAGAGGCGACTGCTGTATTTTAAAGACCCATTGGTAAGCTTAGCCCGTAACCCGCAACACTTTGTCTGGCGTCTCAAGTGTACTCAGCTTCACGATTCCTCAATAAGCAATCTGAGTCTCAAATGGGGATTCCTTCCCATAACTGTAAGAACATTACTCTGAGGAGTGGGAGCAACCAAGTTACTTCTACTATTGGAGCAGAGTTTGCACAAGTCTGGCTAACTCTGTCCTTAGCAACATAGGGAAAAAGGAACGGGAGGAGACCATTCAGCCCATCGAGCCAGTTCCACCAGTTTATAAATCTTGATAGATCTTTTAATGCCATTTCCCCCCCCTTTTACATAACCAAATTCTCTGCTGCCCAAGTGTCTGTCTATCTCTCTTTTGAACGTCCCTATCGATGGGCTCTATAGTTTTCAGGGGAAGAAGGTTCCAATTCATCACAACCCTCTGCGTGAAGAAATGCCTCCTGAGTTCAGTCTTGGTTCTGATTTTACGGCTCTGGCTTCTCATAATATAACCCTTCAGCTTTTATTCCAGTTCCACAATAAAACAAGAGAACTCTAAAAACTGGTATCGTCTTCTGCACAAAGTGTGCTTTTAGCTCGGGCAGTGATGGAACATTTGCGCGAGTAAGTCCGATCGGTAGTGTGTTTTCCATTGTTTCTTGATTCAGTATTGGCATAAATCAAGAAATATTCAATCAAGAAAATGTAATACATTGGCCGACCATAAAGGTTGTCTTTTTCACCCACAAATATACGGTCAATTCACTTTACAGTCTATTCTGTGAAGCGCTTTGAGAAGTCTAGACGACGCGAAAAGCACTATATCAAATGCAAGGATTATTATTATTACCATTGACCTCGGCAGTTTTTCCCCCCTTTTTGCAGGATGCCTTTGCCAGAGGTGAAGTATTTATTGGAAGCAAAGAGAATAACTACAGTGTGTTGGATGGACTGCCTCTGTCAACTCAAGGAAATCATTGGCAGTATGGAATTACCATCGTAACCCCCGACAGGAAGTTCCTATTTGCCTGTGAAACAGAAAGGGAACAGCAGCAGTGGATCGAAGCCTTTCAGAAGGTCATTGACAGACCAATGTTGCCGCAGGAGTATGCAGGTAAGAAACAGCCCTCACAAAGCAACATGGGCCTCGCCCTCAGTCTGTTCTAAACAACATCACAAAATCAGTCCCTTTGCTCCATTTACCTCATCCTTCCAGATTCCCCCACTCTACCGTCCTCCCATGACAGCATCAAGCAGTTTCTCACATGAGTTCAGCATTCTGGTCTCAACCACCCTTCCTGGTAGCCCCATTCAGTCATTATTTACCCTCATTACAAAAACATATTTTTTGGTGAAACATGTGTTCTCCTGAATTGCCCTCTGCAACCCTAAACCACTGCCCTGGCATGTCGGACAGTAAACAGATTTTTTTTGGTGAATGGGGTATCCCCATTCAGCAGAGATCATGAGTTAATATAATAATAATAATCCTTGCATTTGATATAGCGCTTTTCACGTCATCTAGAATATACTGTAAAGTTAATTGACTGTATATTTGTGGGTAAAATGCAGCAGATTGAAGTGACTAATTTATTATTGTTTTTTTCCTTCTTGAGGGATGATTATCAGGCATGTGGAGTAAGGAAACTTGCCCAAAGTTTTGCCCTGCTGGGAATTGAATCCAGGTCTCTCGCTTAGGCGAGTGCTCTGACCACTGAGCTACAGGGCTCCTATGCAAAGATTATTATTATTAAAAGGGCATCTGTAATTCCCTCTGTACACGTATGTGTGTTTACACTTGGCACATAATAGACCCCAGGACACGCGTATGTGCATTCAGTTTGCAATATTCTAAACCAATCAAATAGGAGCTTTTGGTTAGTCTCCAACTACGAATGCCGAAACTGATACCATTGTCTTTCTATGGATCAAGGATGATATTTGTGTTTCCCTTCCAGAACCATACATAACATTTACAGGATATGGAGGGAGCGGGTGGGCTGGATGCGGCCCGTGGGCCGTCAGTTGGACCACCTTGTTATATTATATTACAGAGATTATGTTACAGACAATGGGGTGGAATATTCACACTTTATGAGTCACCAAAGATAAGCCTCCTGCGTGAGATTGAGATCTCTGTAGGAGTATTTGGGTGGTGGCTGTGCTCTCTCTAATCCACTGGCCCCTTGCTCACTGCGCCTGGCTGTGAGATATTGGGGGTCCTGGCATGGAATGGAACCCACATGCCCTGGCGCCTTCTCCAACGTTGATCAGTTTAGTAAGAAAAATAAAATAAAACTATCCCAGCTGTACTGTACCATTCCGGCCAAGGCTGAATTGATTACATTTAACAGTGATATTATTTTTTGACCAACTGGTTGTCTGACACGTGCGGAAACCCATCACCATGCTTAAGAGTTTCCAAACCAAGCTGAGAACACCTACAGCATGCATCCCACCAACAATAGTGATACAATCAAGTGCCGATTGGGGGAATGAGGAGACCAGAGGATTCCTGCAAACACAGGCATCTGATTATTTCCTTGACCTCCCCCCCCTTCCATTCTAAGTTGGGGGAAAAGAAAAAGAGCGATCTTTAAGCGTTCGTGACTCTGGCGTAAACTTGAGACGAGGAACGTTTGCAATCAGATTGAAGGCAGTGGGCTGCGCTCAATTATTTATCTCAATTACGTGCTGCTCTTCTCAGGTGACTATGGAAAACATTAGGATTCAATACCCGGGTCCTCATTAAATTCCTCTCACCCTTAGCCTTAACACCATTGCCTTAAAAATATACAATTTTTTTTAACCCCCCCACCACCAGGCCACTCATCAACAACAACAACTACAAGATTACATTTGTATAGCCCCTTTCACGTCGGGAGGATGTCCCAAGGTGCTGAGCAACAATGTGCATTTATGTAGCGACCGCCAATGCAGGATAGCTTCCCCCAACTCAAACTCCCAAAAATCAAATCCAGGTTCCAAACTGTCTAAAGACCCAATTGTTTTACAACCTCATAACCTCACGAATAAGTGAATCAGCCAGATCGCTTACTGACCAGGAGCCAAGGTAGTCTGTATTCCAGTAAATATTGCCTTAGTGACTCGTTCAAAGTGCAAATCTTCTTATTTATGTATTGAATTTGCCTAAGGTAACCTTTGCTGCACCACTGTTCTTCCCGATTGATGTGTCTCGGCTGCGAGAACAAACCTATCCCCTTCAATAGACCCAAAACCCAATTTGTTCATAACTAAAATGAACAAAATAGAATTCCTATTTTATTACTTAATGGGTTACCTTTCATTATAAAGTAAAATTTGTCATTTTAACCCTTGACTGTCTCAGATTCTAACTCTGTGCAGATCTTCGAACAACACCTTTGTTTAAAAAGCAACATTGCACCTTATAATGCTTATAATGCCTTGCTTATAATAATAATGATAATAATAATAATAATCCTTGCATCTGATTTAGGGCGTTTCACGTCTTCTAGACGTCTCAAAGCGCTTCACAGAATATACTGTAAAGTGAATTGACTGTATATTTGTGGGCAAAATGCTGTGGATCTGCACTAACTGAAAATGCAGTGCTTTCGCACTGACGAGGTAGCTCACAAACCAGCCTGGATAATCTGCCAGATCACACTGATTATGGGAGGGAATTATTTGCCGCTGTCAGAGTGTGCAAAGTTATATTCCGTTACAGGGCAACTCTTTTCTACAGAGCTCGATATTCTGTATAATAACAAGCTAGCTGTGTCCTTTTCCTTTCAGTGGAAGCGCATTTTAAACACAAACCGTAAGAGAAGACCGCTGAGCTGGGCTGACTGCCGCAGAGAGAAAGCAACAGGTTATAAAACGTTGCTGTTCTTGTTATGGAATTGTGAAAAAATATTGTTTGATGTTATGCAGCAATCTACAAACTCAGCCCCTCCTGCATTCAGCTAAGGAGAAGACAGCTGCACAGAGGCAGAAAGTGAACCTGAAAGCCATTCTGCATGTTGCTAAAAACTGTATAAACAAAGCCAGAGCATGAAATTCAACTGCGCAAAAGGAACCGGACATCCATCAGAATGTACGATGCAATTCACGTAAAAATACACTGCATGAACACGTTTATCCACTAATACAGTCAGTAGTCCTGAATGTTCTTCCACCACATGAATGTTACAAACTTGACTACATTGAAAAGCTAGCGTTCTCTCCCTACATTGCTATACCTGCCTGTCTGCCTGTGACTTCATGTTCTCTGCAGTACAATGGCCTTGACCTTCCTCTCTTCTGATCACAATACCCAACTGCTCTGTGATCATTCCAGGGACCATTCCCTGAGTGTGTCTCCCTGCATTGCTACCCCGCGGATAGCAGCATTGAGATAGTTTGCAAACACTGAGTGAGAAAGACACCTTTTACAGCAATTACACCTTGGGGAAGGGAAGGTACGTTGAAAAAGGACTGTTATTAACATTAGGTCTTCATTTACTTATTTGTATGCTTATTGCCGTTGAGAAAGCATTAAAAAAAGGGGTTCTAGAAGTGAGATTTTTCCCTGAGGCAATGGCTATAATTTTGGATTTTCTTTGGGGGGGTGCGGGGTACAGTTTAGTTTTGCTATATTCACCCAGCTCTGATTCTCCTTACCTTTTAAATGCTCCAATTTCACAGTTGACACTGATCTGGCTGTAAGGATGAATTGTTGCAGTCTCAAACTGAGCCAAAAAGGGTCCTGGCAGAACTCTTATCCTAGCACTGAATAAAAATAATAATACTAATCATTACATTTGCTACAGCATCTTTCACGTCTGAAGCCCTCTCAAAGGGCTTCACAGGAGATACTGCAAAGTGCGGAAGCTGTATATGTGGTAGAATGCATATTTATAGTGTTTATGATTTACACAGTTAAACCTTCATTTGAAAGGATATTTTACAACTATAATAGTAATAATCCTTGCATTTGATATAGTGACTTTGCAGGCGAAACTGGCATAATCTTCTTAACTTTAAAAAAAACATTCTTAAGTTATGTACATAATAAATCCAATATTTTGTTTCAGCTCTGTCTCCCATCCCCCCCCAAAATGTTTTTTTTTAGCTTGTTACTTCCATAATCACTCCCATGAAGGTGATTCATAAGTCTGCTAACAGCATCACTGCAGGTTCCTATAAATTCTGTTAAAGTTAATGGCATTTAGCAATGCTCATATGATAAAAAGGGGGAATTGGAATGTATTTCAAGAGGAATAATATGAAAGGGTTTGGAATCAGAGCAGAAAGTTCAATAATAAGAATTCTAATCCCTGGATTTGATACAGCGCCTTATCATATAGTGAGATTTCTTAAAGAGCTTCATAGAATATACTGTAAAGTGATTGTATATTTTGTAGGCGAAATGAAAAGTGGAGGAACGAGCACCAACACAGTAGACTCCCCCTGTGCTGTCATTTCTATGATTTGGCTCAAATTAGAAGACGTTGGTTAAAAGAGACCCATTTTAAAAGCAACAACAACAAATTACATTTGTAAAGCATCTTTCATGTCGGGAGGACACCCCCAAGGCATTGGTCAGTTAGGGATTTGGATCCGAGCAGGGGTTTTGATCACAATTAAATTTACAGCAAGAGAAATGTCCAGCCAATGTTATTTCTAAACATTGTAGTGTAAATATCTGGAGAAAAACTGCACAAATAGGCTTTGTTATTGAGTTTATACACACTATTCAACATTGTGTACAATAGCTTTAGTTTGTCATGATGTGACCATTTGCATACGGGCCTTGAATTTTTAAAAAAATAATCCTCAGCTGTTCAGAGAAGTGCCAGTGTTAGTGAAGCTGAAAATAAACTATTGTAGTGTAATTGAGTATGTTGTTTTACAGTGGTACGCTTTAATAAAAAAAGGTGCATCTGCTCTTTAAAAGGATTTATTCCGTTAAAAGATAATTGTTTGTATTTACATATTAGCTTACATTTACATTTTAATGATACCTTCTGTTCTGTGACGTTTGTTAAAATTAATGGTGGAATTACTGATAACAGTGTTCATTAACAGGATCACATTGGCAAATGGTAATGACATTGTTTAGAAAAAAGCCTTTCGCTCTAAACAATTCTTCCAAAATTGCACCTGTACCCTGTTGTTTTTATTGCTGTCTTTTAAATTAATTGGGCAAAGTCTTTAATGAATTCCTGAAGTTATTCTACTTATGGGTTCTGTCAGTTCTGGTTCACAATCTTAACGTAACTAAAGATTGCATTGGAAAGCATTGTCCTCCAGACCCATCAGTGCTTCATTTGGAATTATTTAATATATATATCTCGGCAAATAACTGGGACCAAATTATCATTTTGGGTGTTATCGTAAGCAATCTGGGGCCCCAGTTAATTCACTGGATGTTTTGAGGTATTCAAATCCACACATTTATATGGACACAAAGCAATCTTCACATCAAATTGATCTCAAAATGATGGTGGTGAGGTGTCATGTTTCTCACAGGAAAGGACATTGTATTATTTGTGCCTCTTTTGATCTTGAAAGATGAAGGCAGCTGAGGAAGTCTCTTGTAACAGTTTACAATTGGGTTCTGTGGACCAATCTATGGGAATCCTGTACCTATTAATCACTTGGTCACACATTTGGTGACAATGAAGTTCAGCATCTCACAAAGTAATTGATTTTTCACATAACTTGCATATGATTTGGGAGTGTTTCAAAAAAGAATCTGCCGCTAAAAGAATAGGCAAATGAAGTGTGCAGTGGGTTATGAGTATAAATATACTCAGTAGGAAACTCTCCAACAGCAGAATTACTGTGAAAAGTGAGTTACAAAAAAAATCTGTTGATTATGAGGCAGAATAATACCAAGTGTAATATTTATTTATAATGTGAGATATGCATAAGTGTCCACTATATTCATGGGGTATGGAAAATGGAGCTGATGGAAATGATGCTTCTGTCACCAGACCGTTTGTTTGGCAGATCCGGTACTTTCGATTAAAAAGGCTTTGATTGTGTTTCAGAAATTGTTCTTTAAGATATATTTTCATTTGTGTTCAATGCAGAAGTCTGTCAAAAACCAAAGGGACTGCAGGAAACATACGAGAATTCCTGCTTAAAGTGGTTTATGGTTAAATACTTAACAGTGACCGCTCTCAGGAAAACCGCCGCCCAACAGCGCTCACAGTGCGGATGGTCAGACAGTGCGGATGGTCAGACAGTGCGGATGGTCAGACAGTGCGGATGGTCAGACAGTGCGGATGGTGCAGACAGTGCGGATGGTCAGACAGTGCGGATGGTCAGACAGTGCGGATGGTGCAGACAGTGCGGATGGTCAGACAGTGCGGATGGTCAGACAGTGCGGATGGTCAGACAGTGCGGATGGTGCAGACAGTGCGGATGGTCAGACAGTGCGGATGGTGCAGA